AAAAGAATACATGAAATTAATCTTTTAATCGCCTTAAAAATCCGATTAGGAGCCATATCAAACCCGGAAAGTGGAAAAATAAAGGTTCAAGCATATTATTTTGACTTTGGATTCATTTCTTACCAAGGTATCTTGAACACTACCACATTTTCAGCCTCTCGTATTAAAACATAAACAAATCCTTTTTTTCTTTTGAGTTTTACAACTAGTGCCTTTTACCAATGAATCTTATAATTTTTCAACTTGGAAAAAAATATTTAACCCAATAGTTTCCAATATAGACAAATACATGTTTCTTTGTCCTAAAAAAAAAAAAAAAAAGAGTAGCATTCCATATTCCGAACTGTCAAATACTAAACACTAATACAAATACTATGTCTCGGTCTGACCAAATAGATTCAACCGAATTCGCACCAAAAACTGTGAAAAATTGGTTTAGAATTAAATTGAACCAAATCAGTTTGGGTTTGATTTAGTTAATTCGAACCGAATAATCTCTTTTGGACGTAAATTCGGTTCGTTATACAAGCAACCAAACTAAAAATAAAATAATATTTGATTTTATTATTCGAATCGATTGGTAATCACTCTATGAAACTTTAACCGAATCAAACCGAAATGAATCGGTTCAGTTATTCGGTCCAGACTGAACACTGCTCACCTCTATTGCTACCCAACAGTGCCTTTACCCCTTTTAACTTTTCAACATTGAAAAAAATATTCTGTTACAATCATTTTCCTCTGAATAATATAATTAACTGAAAATTAAACAGAAAAATTTATCCTATTGAAAGAAAATTGAAAGCTCTAATTGTAAACATTTTAATTCTCTTTCACGTGGCGTGTTATCCATGTCTAGGTTCACGGATTATTAGCTGTTTGCCTCTTAATCATGCAGTCGTGGCAAGATTATCTCGTTGTCAAAAGGTGACGCAGGCAGCTATAAATTTGTGGCTCTGCTCTTACAAACACAAAATAATTATATATTAATAATATAAAATACTGATTTTTGTTTTCTTTTAACTGAAAAATTCTCTTATTTGTTTGGTCGTTGGTGTATTATCTGTCTCTCTGACGCTAATTGTGCTGCCTAATGCATTTCATTTTATTTTTATATTATGCATGTCATGTGACATTTAAAATTAATATTTATCATGTTTTGGAATTTTTATAAATCTATAATTGGTTTGTGATCGAGTCAAATCAATTGAATGAATTATACCGATGGATACATTGAATAGTTGGACCAGTTCTTTAAAAAAAAAAAAGGTATTCCTCTATTGTTTTTAGCGTGATCAATTCAATTTTTAAAAATATAAAGTCTTTTTTTAGAAGGAAATAAAAGAAAATATTGAAAGAGAGGAAATAATAGAGAAAAAAAATTCAATGATGTAATTTTTTTAATTTATTCATTATTTTTTGTTTTTCGGATTTGAAGAGATTCTAATTTTATGAGTTTGTAAAAATAATAGTGCATATTTTTAAATCTCAAATTAAATATATTTTACCCTTTTCTTAAAATAAATTAAATGCTCCCAAAATCCAGCATTTATCCTTTTATTAAAATATTTAAGCGAATGTTCTAAAAGGAGAATCATTCAATTCACAAGTTAAAAGAACGTTCTACTTTTCTAGAATTATAGAAAATGTAGAGTTAAAACGACTTTTGAGTTGTCCAACATCGTTCAACAAATAGTGCGAACTAAGCTATTTTATATACCCAGCACATTTTTTTTTTTTTTAACTTCCGATATTCGGCTTTTATTACTAGGAATCGCCTAATCCGGTTTAAATTGTAGTCACAGTTAATATTTTTTCCCCTTTTTTGTAGGTGCATTTAGTGGAAAACATACCCGATAGCTCTTTCCATGTACTCAGCTTTCATTGATAATTGAGCCACACATGTAGATATATAGGGAACACATTTGATATTCTATAAGTATGTTGAGAGAATTCTTTTTACCACAAAAATATTTACTAATTTTTTGAATATTTTTTAAAGGAAAATGTTATCCTTTATTATGTTATTGATGGTTCAAGAGTTCACAGAACCAATACAGCTCGTGATCTAGAAATGGAGGATAGCTGCGTCATTGATGCTTGGACTGAACTGATTGGTGGATGAAGCAGATTGTATCATTTGAAAAAAAATTGAATAATTCAACAATGCAAGGTTAATACTTGTTCTTAATTAAAGAATAATGAGTTCCTAGAGTTCTGTTTACATTATACTAAAAACCCTTTTATTTGAGTTTCTTTCTGATGGAGAACAACATAAATAGTAGCACAAAAAATTCTATTGGAATTGCAAAATTTGTCAATATTTGGGAGCTCTGTAATATGCTGTCACAGTTAGAAGGAAGAACATATGTCGAACACCTTCTGCCTTTGTTATGGGAAAAATGATGCCTGATGCAGCCTGGACAACGAAACTCGTTATAAGTAACTTGAAACAATTGAACTATATAAGGACAAGATATTCGGACAGAACAACCTTCTGCCGTTTGGTATTATGCGCTAGGCACAAATGATGGATCCGCTCTCGGCTCAGCATGGCTAGGCAGCCTCGGGACAAGCGAAACTCAACGTTACTAACAGTAACTTGAAACAATTGGCAACGCTATATAGTTAGCCGCAAGACTACTCAATAACCATTCATGTAATAAAAGTTCCAGGAAAATCTATTAATGACCTAAGCGTAACGCCCCAATAAGCCGTGATAAGATAATATAGCTATATTCTAAACTATATAGTAGAAGAGAAGAGAGAGAGGAGAGCGGGATGAGAGAGAGAGCTAAAGCGAGAAAAGAGAAGAGAGAAATAAAGATCACACAGGTTAAAGTCTGAGATTCTTGAACTAAAAAAACGCAAACGCAATCTTTTCTTTTGTCTCTAGGGCTTTATAATTTTGTATTACTTAAATGGGCCCCGCGTTCTTTGGCCCGCGCGCTTGTGTTACTACGCTTTCGGTTATCGATAATAAACACATAAACGGCTTAAACAATCGGACATATGGTAAATTCATAAGAATTAAAAATTATTTTAGTGATGGGCGGGACTAGAAAAGAAGCAAGATTAGATTAAGTGATGTAATAAGTCCTAAATAATGAATTTCATATAAGGAAAGATGTCTGAAAGCCTAAAAACAGTCATGAATCTCGTTTCTATTACTAACGAAGTAGGGACGTTGTGTTGTAAATCAATAACTGATGTACGAGAGAACTATAACCTCATTTATATAATTCCTTTAAACCATCGGGAAGTTGGAAGATTAAGTACAATAACAACATAACTCTGCAGTTTGCTAGGCACAAGTCATAAGCTTTAGATTGAAGGGGAATGGACCTAGTGACTATAATCGAGAAACGGAACACCGTCATAATAGTACAGTCTAAATATGGACATGGGAGAGTGATGGGTGGCTTAATATATCATTTTCGTATTGAACGGCAAAGTTAATGGGAGTGAGGGCCTATTATTTCCAAAAAGCCAAGAGATTCAATTAGATGTTTTGAAACTATGGTCATTTTTAAAGTTTTGGCTGTTTTGTCTCTCCTGCCCCCCAAGATACTCCTATATAGTTTTAAACGGAAAGAGAGATTATACACACTCAAGATAAGTGGCCCGATATTTGTTTAATTATCCAAATGATAATTTTCTATTTGGTCACTCTCATTTTGCTTAATACAAGGGAAACACAAACCACGATAGGCTGTTGTCTTTAAGTATTTCTCGTGAATTATAGAGAGAGAGAGAGAGAGAGAGAGAGAGAGAGAGAGAGAGAGAAATAAAATCACGTTAATAATTTTTTCTAGCTTATTTCATACTAATTCTTGCGCGTTTTCCGTTTCGTTAGAGATAAGAAACGTAGCTGCATTGGTTTATGAATTATTGATGCGGGACTAGAAAAAAGCAAATTATTGATGTAATTTATTTCATTAGGTGGATCTATAGCTGACGTGGTAAACTGAGTCAACCTAAAATTTCCTCGAGTGAAGATACATAACACATACCTCTGCTAGTCTAGCACAAGTCCATAAGCTTTTAGATGAAGGAAATGGAAGTATTAATCGACGAACACCATAGACAGTCATTGCAAAGTGGTGTGTTATATTTTCTTGAACGGCAAAGTTGGAGCCTATTCAAAGCAAGTCATTTGTAATGTTTTTTTTAAGTGGCTTTGTCCCTGCCCAAGACTCAAATAGTCGGAAGAGACTCAAATAGTCATTTGTAATTATTCAATTTCATTTCATTTCTTGCTAAATCAGTCGATATAGAAAAAACCTTGTAAAGGGCACCAGCTAATGTATTTATTATAGATGCCATAGCTGCACCAAAACGGAAAGCAATATATCATTAGTTACTATTTCTCTTTATGTTTGGTATATGCAAATCATAACTCATGTTGTGTAGATTTGGTATTTTATTATCATATAGCACATATTGAAAACTATATGTATTTGGATGTTAAAGCTGCAAACTTTCCTTATGAAATTCATTTATACCAAACATGGCCTTAGAAGCTGAATGAAGAATTAATCTTTCTAGATTGCAATAAACATAAATAAGAACTGAAAAGAGAAATAAGTTTTTCGTTAAGCTTGTAGCTTTCAAAATAAAACCCTCCATTGTGATATTGTTGACAGTAACGTGGAGCTTCTTCTTTTCTATGTGAATAAGGAATGTAATACAGAATGAAATAGAATAAAAATGAGAAAAAAAGGTTCCTATTCATATATTTGGCATGCAACATGAAATGAAATAAAAAGTAAAAATATATTTAATATTCTTATAGTTTTCTTAAGATCTTCAGAAACATAAGGAATTGTCGAAACAAACAATTCATATGGTGTAGTAATGTATCATCTTTATAAATTGAATAATTCTCAATTACATTCAAATAATTGTTTTTCACTAATGAAGGAATTTCTAGAAAGAAAAAAAAAAAAAAAAACAACAACAATTTTCCTGAAAAATACATATGATGTACAAATAGATAATGCACACGAGCTTTACTTTTCATCCACTTGTAGATTGAATTCCACTTCAATATTTCAAGATCAGAACCATTGGCATAAAACTTACCTATTCAACCTGCAAAAATGCTATGCTTAGTTCTCAAAATTCAATAATCATGAGGAGCTCTGATATATGCTGGCATATAGTTATAGGACCTATAGCTTGTGGGGCAGAGCATAGTTATATCAAGTATCATATGTATGCTCTTATAGGGAAAAGCATCTGTCCAAATCCTTCTGCCTTCATTATGGGAAAAATGATACTTGATGCCGCCTGCAAAAATGGAACTTTGGTTTTGAATCCTTATAAAGAAACTGGGAATATGTAAATCAACTAAAACACATTATATAAGCGTGTTTGCGATAAGAAGGAAAAAAACATACTGAAATCAATCTAGCTCCGGTCCAAATGCTTTTAGGCGAAGGAAATGGAAGTATTAAGCGGCCGACTCCATAGACAGCCACAGCAAAGAAATGTAGGACTAGGTTTAATGGGCGAGGATTTAGTCCAGAGAGTAGAGCTATGGGTCCATTGGAAAATACACCTCCAAGACTCAAATAGTCAAAACATGCTTGTCGCATTTCATTTCTTGCTTGATCAGTTGATGCAGAGAAAACCTTGTATAAGGCACCTGCTAATGTATTTATGGTGGATGCCATTGGCTGCACAAAGAACAAGAAAGCATCATATGCTAAGTTATTGATTCCTAATTAATACTACAGCAAAGATTCAATATGCTTCTTATTACCTTTCGAAGAGTATAAAAGGATTCGAGGTATTTGCACAAGGCAGATGCATCATTTAGACTGCCTAAAGGTCTAAGGAGGTCTCTCAGTAAAAGTATATCAGAAAGTGCAACGGTCATTCCTCCTCCTGTTAAAGGATGTCGCATATTAAACGCATCCCCCAACAAAAGAGCACCTGGAGTTGGATAAGGAGAAGCTGGCATGCTTCTGTTTGGCATTGTTCTAATGTTTTCCTTCTCAATTGCAGATATGAAAGCATTATATAGCTCAGCAGGGATCTGAAACATGGTTGCATCGTTGAATTACAAAATTGCCGAGCAGATAGCAAGCAGACATCTTATTTGAAAGGAAGCAGATAGTGCAACAGAACTTTTTAAGTGCATAATGTCTTCATAAATAGAATCTGAAAACTCAGTTTGTTTATTTTCATGCATATATTAGTTTTAGCATGCACTTGTTTTATAATTAGTCCAAATTCTATGGATCATGACACTAAGATTCTGAGTACCTGTGGGGCCACCACGCTTTTCATATATTTTGCCAATTCACCATTAGAAATGGAGGGTACTTTTTGGCCTGGTATATCGACTAAACAGCGCACCTCACTGCTGCTAATAGGATAAAACAAGATGGGCGAAGGATCTGCCAGAATAACGTGTCCGTGATTTGCATAAGGAAGTTCACAGTTCTCTAGCACAATAGCAACAAAACAAGAGGGGATATCAACCTGTAGAATTCGCAGTAAGTTGTAAATTCAGTAATATGAATTGGGAAGGGGTGAAATTCTTAAGTATACAGGCACAAAGTTTACTTAGCATCCATACCTTTGAGTTGCAGAGAGAGCGTCGCAAATTTGAAAAACAACCATCACACACTATTGTGAGGGGAGCATGAGCAGTCAACTCTTCACCATTTCTAGTTTTGTAATTTACCCCTTTAACTGTTCCATTTTCCTCAAGAAGCGATGTTACTGTTCCTTGCTCCAATCTCACACTGTATATATTAGAGAAAGAGAAACAGAGATGAAAAAGAAAGATACTGGTGAATATATGAATTGTATGCTTCTCTATCATTCTGAAAATGTATAGAAAGGAAAATTACTTAGGAAGAGATGCAGCCTTCTCTCGCATTCTTTGTATAAAACGTCCGTTGTGGAAGCTTCTTCCAGCCACATTTGAATTATGAAAAGATTCCAGAGGATATGACAGCTTGCTACTTTTTCCATTCTTGAAAATAGCATATCCAAATATTTGCTGAGCATCAATCTTTTCTACACAATCTGCATTATCATGAACTAGTTGAGTGAATTTGAATGAACTACAAAAGATTTGACATGCTGAATTTTCCATATACCTTCAAGACCCAACTCGATCAGTTTCAGATACCCGCCAGGCTGCAAGAGTTCACCAACAATTCTATCAGGCTCGTTTAGGTCTCTCTCAATCACATGCACTTGACGTCCATCCTGCAGTTAGTAACCAAAACTATACTGTTTCAACATATAATAATAAAAAAAAAAATAGCACTTGAGCTGATATATTGAGAACTCATCTAAAAGTCTTTTGATTGGTTCATAATACAATAGAATCACACAAATTTACCTTGCCAAGTGCATAAGCAAGAGCTGAACCAGCAACACCGGCACCAACAATGATTATGTCTGGTGTTGCAGCCATCTCAGTCGGGCATATTTCTTTTCTACCTCTCTTCAGCTTTTCATCTTTAAAGCTCTTCACTGGAACTCTATTGTCCTTTCCTCTTAATCTATATACCAAAATCAATGCCCAAATAGAAGCTATAATTCCTCCCATTACAAGCTTGTAATCCATCTTGAAAGGCAATATAGAACTTTTCTCTCTTTCTTTTTTGTTTCTCTTGCCAGATTGATTGCTAATGCTTTTCAAGTAGGCGCTCTTTTTGCAGATCTAACAGAAGTTAGTCACCCTTTATAGCTTGTATCAACTGCTCAAATATGTTGATAGTCAATGAACTGGAATGAAAACTAGTCAAATAACAAAAGAACATTCTCGAAAAGTTAATAATATTTTCAAGGATTTTAAAAACCATGCAAGCCAAAGCAGACCAGACAACGAACAAACAACTGCATCGTCATAATAATTTTAATTCGGAAATTAGTAGAAAGCAGGAAATTACTTGGAATAAAAACAAAAGACAGAATAACTTCATGAGCATGCATTAGGTCATTGACATGCAGTTCAAGGCAAGTCGATAGTGGGTCTTCCTTTTTCTTTTTTTTTTTTCTTTAATTAGACATGCTATTGAAATCTAGTTTGGAAGAAAAGGACACATTCACAAGGATAGTCAAATTTCATCAACTCAAGAGATGTCCCTTGTGATTAAACATTTCAATAGTCAAGGTTTACTTGACATTAGACCTATTACTTTCCAAAATCTCATTCATTTTCCTAATTTCATACAACAATTTCCAATTTCAGATACTAGTTTCTAAAACTCCGAATTCATTTTTGATTTTCTCCCGAGAATCAAACAGAGCACTTCTGCACTTTACATCCATTTCCATATTCCTTCAACAGAAAGCACCATATATAACCAAAAACTAATATGTTCTATACCACGATTATGAAATACAATGTTTTATCTGCACAAATTCTGAACTTTCGAGCATTATTAATAGTATCATTTCTCAAGTTTCAACCCAAGTGTGTCCCAATTATCTTGCCTTTAGCTGTAGAACAAGACCAATCCTAAATTAGAAATAAAATTTAGGTTAAAGTAGTTAAATACAGACTTATAATAGAGTTTGAAAGCTAAATTCATATTGTAATTGGATTTGAAGCAGACCCTTTAGACAAGAAAACAGGACAAACCAGATTGCAGTTAATATATAATATTTAAAGAGAAAAGAACAATGAGCGGATCCATGCAAGTTTTTCACTGATGGCTTATCTTCAATACTCAATTCAGCTAATTTCATATCGTCTTCTAGTTGCAAAAGTTCACCAGCACTTTTGTCAAGGACAGACAAGTTTTTTAAAGCAAGTGTGCATGCTTTCTTTCCTGCAGAAGTAGCAAAAACAAGAGTCTACATGCTTAAACTCATAAAAAACTTCTTATTAACAATCTTCCTCTTGAAATATGCAATAATTACTTCTAAATACCCTGAGTACTTAAACAGTGTAAACTAAATCTAGAGGATTATTGAGAACCAAAAAAAAAAAAAAAAAAACTCTTGCCGCAGATTGATTGCTAATCTTACCTGAAGGCCCTCTAGTTTTGAGCCAGCGCCCAGGGGCCTTGCCTGTCCAAAGAGCAGTACGCCCATTCTATTTTATGCAGATCTAATACAGATTTAAGATTTATGTCAACGCTGCATTTTTTTTATAGCGTTGTATCAACTGGCTGGCTACAAAATATCGGTTATATGATTAGTGGTCTTATAGAAACGGGATTGTGAATATACTTTTTAACTAGGTTTCCAAAGTAACAAAAAAGAGAGCATTAAATCGGGCTAAGAAGAGAGGTTTGATATAATGCTATAATGCTGTTCGCCCCGAGCGCTTAAAAGCCCTATTGCAAAAGGATTAGTTTAAAAACCATGCAAGACCAAATGGCAAGCAACCCAGACCAACGCAACCACATACAAACTGCAAGCTTCGTCATGAGATAAAAGATTAAGCCAGTTTTAACTCTTAACGGTTGAAAATTAGTAAAAGCAAGTGAAATTTACTTTGAGAGATCAAAACAAAAGTTGAAGATATTGGATAACAAGTTAAAATATTGTAATGACTTCATTTTGGAGCATTGAGAAAGGCTATTAGGGCGCTTCAAAGCTTGGACACAGTTAAGCAGTTTCAGCGGATCAATAAGAGCCTTAAAGTAATCCTGGCTTAGCTGCAGAAAGAGAGAATTAACCTGAGGGGACAGGGGGCAAGTTTCGGGTAAGGGTTGGGCGTATTGCCATTTTGGTTTAAGATGCTACTTAAGGACTATCCTTTATTCATTTTTTTCTATTTCTCTTATTTCTTTTTAAATTAATATGCAGCATCGCTTTATTGGAAATAGCCTAGTTCTGGAAATAAAGACATCATCAGCAAGGAATGATGCAAAATTTCATTCAACTCAAGAGAATTCCCTTGTGGATTGAAACATTATCAATAGGTCAAAGTTTATTTGGGACATTAGACCTATACTTTCCAAAAAATCTCATTCATTTTTCCTAATTTCATCAACAATTGTCCAATTTCAGATACTAGTGTTCTAAAACTCCGAATTCATTTTTGAATTTCTCCCCGAGATGAGACAAATCAGAGCACTTCTGGGCAGAAGCTAGGTTAGCTGGCACTGTAACTGCACTTTAGCTATGTCACCATCTTCACACTAATTTCACGTAAAAACGAACAGCATAAGGCTGATTGGCATATATACTTAAGTGACTCATGAAATCAAAAACTAATTGATTTTTGTCTACACTTATTAATTTGTGAACTCGAGAACGGATTATGAGAAATGATGGTACGACTATGGTTTTTCTTGATAACGTGCGACGACAAATAGCTTACTTGGGGTAAACTAGCCCTCGGGAGGTCAAAAGATTGCCTTAAAAATGAGTACATTCGGATGTGGTCGGTGGCAAGATGTAAGTATCAACACCGAAGTGTTGCACTGCCACCAAGTCCAGGTAGTGACTGGGCGGCATTGTGTAGCGTCGATAGATTATGAAGCACCCAATCTGTTGAAGAATAGAAAATAAAATTAATGTAGGTTTCAGTCAAGGTAGTTAAAATACAGACTTTATATAAATGGGAGATAGGTATTTTGAAAAGCTAAATTCATAATTGTAAAGTAAGAGGATTTTGTGTAAAAGGCAGAATACCAGCCTAAATATTGATAGTAAATTATGTAACATAAACAGGTAATCGAAGGAGCCGGAATTTGCAGTTTTAATATATAGATAGTTTAAAGAGAAGAGAGAACAATGAGGATCCAATGCAAGTTTTTTTCACTGATGGCTTAATCTTCAATACTCATATTCTGCAGATAATTCTTGTTCTTTAATCCTATCCTTAAGCTTCATAGTTGCAAAATAAGTTCACACACACGTCTTAACATTTGATTTGAATGCTCAGTCGGGAAACAGACAAGTCTATGTAATAAAGCAAGTGACGATCTCAGCAATGCTTATTCGTCTGCAGAAGTTAGGGGGGCAAAAACAAGAGCGCCTGCTTAACATTGGCTTTAAAACTGTGCATAAAGCACCGAAAGGCAGAGCGTCTAATATGTTAACAAAATCTAATTCTTCCAAAACTTAGAAATATGCAATAATATTGTAGCTTCATTTTCCTTAAATTAACGAAAATTTCACTGGAGGGAGGGAGAGGTAATTTAAGGCTTGGGCTATGAAGACATAATAAAGAAAACAGTAGTAAGAAACGTAGATCAAATAGAGTTATTGCTATTGAGAAACCAAAAAAAAAAAAAAAAAATGCATAGTCTACATAAACAGGGGCACAGATAAGTGGAAAAAAAAAAATATCCTAAGTGAATATGGTAAAAATTTTTATTGCCTTCGAGATGCTTACTGTCAGCGCTTTCAAGTTCACCAAATAAGCAGATCGATGGAAAGAATAGTTTTAATTATTGTAAGTCGTCTTGATCTCAGAATGTTGTTTTGTTCACTGCTATCTAGTCTGTTGAAAAAAAAAAAAAAAAAAAAATGCAAGTCTAACATAAACAGCACAGATAAGTGGGAAAAAAGAATATCCTACTGATATGAAATTTTATTCCCCAATATCGATGGAAGTTATTTGTAGTTCTTGATCTGAATGGTTTTGTTGATGCATTCTGGTTGAAAATATTCAATACTTCAGATTATGAATGGTTTTCTTTTTTTCTCATAGACCTTTCTGAGAATTTGCTTGTGTAATATTCAAAGTGCAAAATATGATTTCCACACTGAAAGACAGATTTTACAGTATATTCACTGTAGAACAGTGAGGAGGGTTTGAGCCAGATTATTGTGTGCGCGGAGCAATAAATAAAGAAAACAAACAATATATTGTGGTTCTTATTCACAGAAATGGAAGTTCATGCTCTGATTTACTATAAAGACAACTTTGACAAGGGCTGTAGTAAATTTGTGACTAAATATATGTAGTTCCATTGTAAGTTCAATACCCAAGAGATTGGAAAGTAGAATAATCAATGAATGTGTCTGTATCATCTGAGAAATTGAATAATTCAACATTACAGGGAAATAATTGTTTCTGATTGAACAATGAATTCCTAGAAAACAATACAATGTACATATACTACACAACTTTTCTCTTCCAACTGGACCCATATTCATTTTCAGAAAGAATAGCACAATTGATGGAAACTAGTCTACTGAAACTGCAAACACTTTTTGCTGATCGGTTGTCAAAAGTCAATAGCTAGGAGGAGCTCTATAATATGATGCCATGGTTAGAGGGAAGAACATCTGTCTAATTCCTTCTGCCTTCACTATTGGAAATATGATACCTGATGCAGCCTGGAAGCATACATTATAAGGATGGTCAAATCACCTTTGTCTGTGAACTAGATTCAACAGATACAAATAAACATAACAAACTATCTCATTTGCAGAATCAATCGATTGTCATTAGAGCTACTATGAAAGTTACATACCGTTATCAATCTAGCACTAGTCCAGATGCTTTTGGGTGAAGGAAATGGAATTATCAAGCGACCAACACCAAAGATAGCTACGGCAAAGAAATGTAGGACTAAGCTTAAAGGGCGAGGGTTTAGGCCGGAGAGAAGAGATATTGGTCCATTTGAAAATACACCTCCAAGGCTTAAGTAGTCAAAACATGCTTGTCGCATTTCATTTCTTGCGCGGTTAGTTGATGCAGAGAATACTTTGTACAATGCACCTGCCAATGTATTTATTGTAGATGCCATCGGCTGTAACAGGACAAGAAAACTAAGATGTATAAGCATTTACAATTTGCAAGCAAATCAAAATCCTTGATTAATATACAAATAATTAAAAACCACATTTTACTTTCAAATATGGATGCTAGAAAAGCCATGATTATCCTAGACTATCATGTTTAAAAGCAAGGTCATCAGACACCCAATGGTGCAGGACTAGAAATGCCATACAGGAACGTTCCTTACCTTTCAAAGAGTATAAAAGGATTCGAGGTATTTGCCTTACCTTTCGAAGAGTATAAAAGGATTCAAGGTATTTGCAGAGCGCAGATGCATCCTTTAGACTATTTAGAGGTCTAAGGAGGTTTCGTAATAAAACAATATCAGAAAGAGCCACTGTCATTCCTCCTCCTGTCAAAGGATGTCGCATGTTGAATGCATCTCCCAACAAAAGTGCACCTGGAGTTGGATATGGAGAAGCTGGCATGCTTCTGTTTGGCATTGTTCTTATATTTCCTTTCTCAGTTGCTGATATGAATGCAGGATATAACTCAGATGGAATCTGGAGCACACAAGTTTCAAAGATCGAGTTACATTACTTTAACATTAGCAACATAAAGATATTAATACTAAACAAGTAGTTTCATAGCTGCTGAGCAACCACGGTTTTCAGATGATGTGCCATTTCACCATTTGAGATGGAGGGTACTTTTTGGCCAGGCACATCGACTAAGCATCGTATCTCAGTGCTACTGATACGATAAAACAAAATTGGTGAAGGGTCAGCAAGAACCACGTGTCCATGATTTTCATATGGAAGGTTGCAATTCTCTAGTACCAAAGCAACGAAATGAGAGGGGATATCAACCTGCAAATTTGTTTATAACCTTTATTAATATCTCAATTAGAAAGAGAGATTAAGTTTCACATTCCTAAAACATACAAACTGAATGCATGCAGTTAGATCTAGCAAATAAAATTGCTTGGTAATTAATAAAAGATACTTTAGCTAAGCATCATCGAGTACCTTGGGTTTGCAAAGCTTGCGCCGCAAGTTTGAAAAACAGCCATCACATACTATTGTCAGAGGTGCATTTGCTGTCAACTCTTGACCAGTTCTGGTTTTGTATAGCACCCCTTTAACAGTTCCCTTTTCTTCAAGAAGAGATGTCACTGTTCCTTGTTCCAATCGTACACTGTATAAAAGATCAAGAAAGTGGACAGATAAGAGTTCTAGTAATAAAAAAGAAAAAAGAAAATGAAAAGAAAGCAAAAAATAATTAGGTGCTGAAATACTACAAACACTTCATAAGTTCCATGTCAAATATATACCTATGATTAATTACAAAATCATTATAATTGAGTAGAATACATAAAAGTTGAATGCATGTGGTTAAAGTATGATTACTTGGGAAGAGTTACAGCCTTCTCACGCATTCTTTGTATGAAGCGGCCATTATGAAAGCTTCTTCCTGCTATATTTGATTCAAAACTTTGCAATGGGTAGGATAGTTTAGTGCTTTTGCCATCCTTGTAAATAGCATATCCAAATACCTGTTCAGCGTCAATCTCTTCCACACAGTCTACATTCACAAAAATTCATACTCTCATTTCAAAAGAAATACATTCATAATTGTTTGAGGGAGCGAAGTCAAAATTTTCAATTATTTTATCAGCTAGCTAATCGAGTAAAAAACTGAAACTGCAACACATTTCTAAACTATACAAGTCGTCAATTCCTAAAAAGTGAAATTAGATTCTCATGAATGGAATATGTACCATCAAGACCCAACTCAATCAGTTTCAAATAACCACCAGGTTGTAGGAGTTCCCCAACAATTCTGTCAGGCTCATTCAAGTCTCTCTCGATTACATGCACTTGGCGACCATCCTGCAATAATTAAGTATCCAAATCAGTACTATTATCAATATTAAATAATAGCATGAAACGATGCATAGTGATATCACAATTTTATATACCTTGCCAAGTGCATAAGCAAGAGCTGAACCAGCCACACCAGCCCCAACAATGATTACATCAGGCGTCACAGCTATCTCAGAGAGGCAGTTTTCTTTTCTGGAGCTCTTCAAAGTTTTATCTCTGATGTCCTTGACCAAAGTTGGGTTCTTCTTCTTTGCTCTTAAGATGCACAACAACACCAATGCCCAAACAGAAGCTATAGTTCCTCCCATTACAAGGCTATAATAATCCATCTTAAAATATCAATTTAGGATGCAATGCGCTAATAGGAGATGAAACTAGAACTTTTCTCCTGATTTTTCTGAGATTGATTGCTCTTTGCTAATGCTTTTAAAGCAAGAGCTCTTTTTCTTACATTTCCAACAAAACTTCAGGTGCATTTTATAGATGGTTCAACGAGGTTGGTAGTCAATGGACTGAAAAGATGTAGCATTCTACAACGACTGAATAAGTCATTGCCGTTGCTACGACCAAATAAGCCCGTCTGTGGTTTGGATGAATAAGTCAATACTGAAAGTGCATTCAGCAGCAAAGGATAAAAATATTTTCAAGGATTACTTCAAAACCATGGAAACCAAAGCAGAAACGACAAAGAAAAATTGAATTATTACTTCAATTTTAAAAAAAAAAGAAACAAACAAATAAAAAGAAAGCTGAAAACATATAGAATAAAACAAAGAAAAGAATCAATAACTTCACAGGCATAGAATAGATTATTGACACGAAATTTGGGGCAAGTAAATGTTGAATCATCACTTGGAAACAAAAGTTGTTCTCATAAAAATAGCTGTCCTTGTTAATTAAGCCAAAAATGGGAAAGAAAATAAAGGAACTGCTACAGAGAATTTGCGGAAAAAAAAAAAAAAAAATTGAACTGCTAAAAATTACTCCTTTTACTCGTATCTCCATCACCTTGTAGAAGCTTTATATACAGAAACATATAGTTACTAGCAAACACCATATGCATTTGTATAAACTGAAAATAAATGTTAATGCTGCGTCAGCTTCATCATCCATTCTAATAATTCTGAAAACTTAAGCTTAAGAAAAGGACTGAAAAATAAATTAAATGCTTAATTTGGAATCAATAATTAACCCATAATTAGTTGCAGAACTGAGGATTATGATTGACAGGCAAAAACACTAATTACTTGCAAAACACCAAAACTAAAAAGAACAGCTAGACCTAGTCGTAAAAGATAGGAAGCAAGTGAGGTACTTGTACCTCTTTGCAAACTTGTCGGTGATCGGAGTTTGGCATTTTTTGCACAAATGATCCAAAGCAAACTTTTAATTTGATTTTGAATCACCAAACTTTCACTTGATCAGGTTTATCAAATGTGTATTCAGAAAATTTGTGTACGTGAAAGGACGTTACATGCCATGGACCAAAAAAAAAAAAAAAAACATTAAAAAAAAAAAAAAAAAATTGTAACGGTATTCAATTGAAAATTTTGAATTATTTTCTCTCGGGCATTTTTTTTCTAAGCATTGGTTTTTTTTTCTTTTAATAAGAACATGGGCATTTTAGTTATAACTTAATTAATAATTTTCCTTGGCAATATTATTTCTAATATTCCTCAAAAGAAATTGAATAATCGATAAAAAATAAGTTTAATTTTCAATTTTTTATTGATTTGAACCGAATTGAACAATCGATTCAGCTCTAATGAATAGAATTAAATTTTTGATAAAAATCAAATTGAATTAAATGGCGTGCAAGACTAAACTAGACCGAATAAGTTCAGTTCAATTTGATTTTAATTATTTTTGGGATATATATCGAATTGAATCAAAGAAGAAAAGGTTTAATTTTTACTACTAAAAATTTTGAACCAAAAAAGAAATTTCAATTTTTACTAATTACGCTCTTGTTTAGAATAAATGAATTCCATAAAATTATATGGAATTCATTTATAAATTTAAATTTTTATGTTTGATATGAAAAAAAAAATTGAAGAATTAAATTTTATGAATTCAATTACATGGATTTGAATATAATTAAATCAAATTCTATTAAAAAATATGAAATTTTCAAATAAATTTCATAAATTTAATAATCCAAAATTTTATGACAAAAATCTCCATCTTCCTAACCTTCTTAAGTTATTATACTATGCTATTAAAAATAAAAGCAAATGAATTTTCAATTTTCAATTTATTCTAAATATGAAAAATTCATTTACAAATGAATTTTATCTAGAATTCATTTATAAATAAATTTTCATACTTTGAGTTCATTTATACCAAACAACGTGTTACAAATTAAACCAAATTAAATAAATTCAATTCGATTTGGTTTTTAATCGAATAGAATATTTAACCCTAATAATTAATTTATGAATCTTTCTCATTCATAGGCTTATGAAATTAATAGATTCTATCTAATATCCTAACAATTTAAGTAACTAATATTGCTAACTTCAGGTTGCATGTAATTGACTTAACACCTATTTGAAAATGGTAATTAGCTTTTTGAATTTTCTTGTTTTTTTTTTTTTTTTTTTTTTTTTTTTTTTTTTTTTTTTTTTTTTTACCCATGAAAGGTAACAAGTGTGAATTAATTCAAGTAAACCATTGAGAGTAGAAATTACAAATTATACATAGCCAAATGTATAAATTGACAGCTAAACTTTAATTAGTGGCACGCCTTCAATTTTAATTTATAAAATTATATATATTGAACACTTTAATTTGCAAAATAATTTTATTCATAAAATTAAATTAATTAATACTTATAGAATAATTGAAAATTATGCATGAAAGATAAAAACTGTTAAAGTTATTATTGAAAATATGAAAAAATATATAATATTAGCAAAATTTATAACCAGATGGACAATCATCATCAAATTACCAATAGTTAGAGTTGTAAAATTAAGCGACATATTTATGCATTTAGTCAATTATATATAGAAATGATAGGAAATGATGTAAAATCTAGAATAAAAGGCCTTATTCAACAACAATTTTTTATATAGTTTGGGTATTTTAAGTCGGTCAATACATTATTTCTATTGTTTAAAAGTATTCGGTAGTGTACCTTTTATATTAATGTATAGAGTTTGAGAGAGCATATTATAAAATATTATTCTGTTTAACATTTGATGAAACGCTAAAAAAAAAAAAGCTAAGAAATAATATGATAACTAATGGCTAAAATAACTAATTTTACTAAACAGCTTTAAGCCCGAGTCCATCCCCCATACCACTTAAGCAAGGTAATATGATAATATCTACATATTTTATTAATTACATAACAAAAACTTTAACATTTCTTGAAAATTTAAATTCTTTTGTCGAATTCCCGATTCTTACAAATTTTCGTTGACCCACTTGACTAGGGAACGTTTCATGTTTATTAATTTGTTTTGTTCTCTTTATCTTGTAAGTTAAGTAGCAACAGCCAATAGGTCCGCGCTACGTACAGTTAATAAAAAATTTATATATATATCCATTAAAATCTTAATATGATAATAATAAAAGATATGAACAAAATAGATAAATAGTAAAAAATAAAACTATGATTTTGAAGTGAGATTGTGAATTAATAAATAGACGGATTTTGAAGAGTGTGTAACTAGAAATGATGAAATTTATAAAGATGGAAAAAAAAAAAAGGAAAAGAAAAAGTAAAATGAAACATCATCAGTAAACTTCATTAATTCTATATATTTTTAAGATTAATATAAAAAGTACACATTCACATTAATAATTATAAATTTAGATAATTTATTCATATTATTAAGTGCTATATAAATTATCACTTAACTTATTATTAATTCTTTAACATTATAATTTTAATTAATTATATTTAACACAATTTGATTTAGTAAATAAACTATCATAAATTTAATTTATTTTTAAATAATTTATTTCAGAATTAATATAAAAATTAAAGCTCGTAATATTAAAATTCATAAATTAAATAATTTAATCGTATCATTAAAAGCTCTATGAATTGTCACTTAAACATTAAACATTAATCCTCTAACATTATAATTAATCAATTATATTAATATAATTTAATTCAACAAATAAACAATCATATGAAAT